TTCCGCGCCGCTCTGGGGGAGCATTCAACAACGAAATCCGTCCGCTTGCGAGTCTTCGAGGTTCGCGGTTTTCCTGCATACTGAATGTTTGTATCGTATACAATTTTGTAAACAATAATCTGTGAATGTGAAGTTGTTCAGTAAACAAATGAGAGCTAGTACGCACTTATGGGTAAATCTGGGTTCTTGCGAGTGGAGTCTGGTTGACGAGAGGGCCAAGAGGTTAAAATATTGATACCTATCGCAAACACAAACGGGACTCTTAATGGATTCGTTGAAACGAACTGTACGTTTCTGTGACAAAAGTTAAAAATCTCTAAAATAAAAAAAGAGGGAGCCCCGTAGGGAAGCAGTGGGAACCCATCTCACCCATGTCCTCACTCAACTATACTTTGGCTTATTAAAGTGTCCCTTGACAGATGATCAGCTGTTAAGTGTCATCCAATCGGCAGCTTAAACCTAACTATGGTGATACGCGTTCGTGGTCGCAGTCAACGCATTCGGCAGCAGTATAGCTCTGAAGAATGCCACAGCAAGATGGCCGAAACGTCAGAACAATTGACCGAGAAGCGGCTCATCCCGGATAGCCAAGAATGCACTAACTATGGTTAAGTTCAAGCCGCCGACTGGATGACACGTAACAGCTGATGATCTGTCAAAGCCACGAAGCACAACGTCGAGGGCGAGCGAGGGAGACACGTGCGTGCGTGCGTGCGCTGCGGGCCTGCGCCGGACGAGGCCAGTGGGCGGACGCACAATGGCCGGCGGGCGCGGAAGCGGCCACCGGGCGCGGAGGGGAAGGGGGGAGGGGGCGTTCTCCCGCGCCCGGCAGAGCGTGGCGCGTCCAAGGCTGTCGCTGCTGCACGCCCACCAACGCACAGCGCGCCGGCCTCGCCCCTCATTGCCACAAGGCGCTAGGCTGTACTCTACGCTCGCACTCGGCAGAAGGTGGCCGCCGCCGACCTGCAGTGGTATCATTACAATAGTGGGGCCCGTGCCAACTTTCCACGCTTCTGAAATTATTTTTGCAAAAACGAAAATCGTTTCAGTCAGGAACCCAACATGCAACACTTCTGACAAGTCCTGTTACTGAAAAATTGCAATGCAACATCCAAGAACGCATGCAAATATTACTTTAACAACTTTGCTTAACTTATTTATTACGGTGACTAGTAGCCTGAAGATTTTGCATATTTCCATGTTGTTTTTTTCCTTTCAGAATAATGATACACCTAAAGAATACAAATCCTTCTTCATGCATGAAATCTGTATATAAGATCGTATTGTTCATATTTCGACATATTAGTGACGCTTGACCATTTTTTAAGAGCTTAAGTTGGAGTATTTAAATAGTTATGTGTGTGTGTATTAAATATTTTCCGTTGAAACGGAAACTAAGAGGTTGCTTTCTATTTTTTGAATTGCGAGGTACTCCATTTCTTCCAAACGTCAGCCGTAGACATCGGATTTTTGGGCTCTAAAAAATATTCTATGCTCCCAAAAAGACACTGAAAATATCAAGAATAAGTAGTAAAAAGCCACTGTCGGAAGTTACATTCACAATAAATTGAAAAATTGGTTTTAATTTTTTATCTATTTTGTAAACTTAAATGCAAAAAACAAGTTTCTACATTTAATGTAAAACAAGATTTACATATTTATAACTCTTATACATTTTATTCTTAATAGGATGCATTGCAATTTATTACCAGTAATTTTTGAAGGATTACAATTTCAAATTTGCAATGAATTGGAGACAAAATCAGTTTTCATTCGGAGAATGATCTTTCAACATGTACTGATGAGACTGGCCAACATCGGCAACATTGAAACCTTCTGGGAATTTACATTTATTTCTACTTAAAATGTTGGTGCCTTCGGTGAATTATCAATCGACCATGTTCTGAGAACATGATTGGTATTTTTAAAACAGAAATGAAGGGAAAAAAATTAGTACTTATACGAATTCTCTCATATTCTCTCTAAAAGTGTTTCGAAAAAATCGCCAACAAATATCCAGCTGATTACTTCAATAATACTGAATTTTTTGGCTAGGAATTAAATGCATCGTTCATATTTCAAGCTCTACACGTAGCTTAATGGTGTAGAATACAAGACATTTGAGAATTTTATATTTTTCTAATTTTTAAAAAATATTTCATACCCATTTCCATAATTTTTATCGCACTCTAGTGGTTAGATTTCTCTTCCTTTTTACAAAAAAGTGCATTTTATTATTAGAATTCTACGATATCTCGGCCACGCTCAAATTATTTGAAACTTATGGCTCGAATGGATTTCCAGATTCCTTCCATCAACTGCTAAAGCATACGTTCGGAACTTGAACAAAAAATTACACGACTGTTTATAATCATATTACAAAAATACACTAAGCGATTACATAATATGTTGACTTATTTTATGTACACTCACAGGCAATGACTAATATAATAATTTAGATAACCATGAGTTTAACTGAAAATAAAAAGGGTATGAACATCGTAAAAAGGAATTTAGAAGAATTTCAATGTAGAGCAGTCACAAAATAATCTCGAATGAAAAGGTAGGTTGTTTTAAAAAGGGGTCGTAAATTAATGATATCAGAGTCCACTTTTCAGAACATTTCTGGAACTGAAATTTAAAAAATCGTCCTGTTCCGCAACACAAATGAAACGACCACAACCGATAAGATAACGAAAATGACCCAATACGATAAGGGGGCCCACAAAACATTAACACAGAGGAGTCACTCAGGGCTACCGATGTGAGGGAAAATAACGAGGTCAGATAGAGGATAAGGCCCACGAAATCATTGAATGATTATGTTGAAGGTGAAGCCAACAAAAATCGAAACTGTAGTATACAAACGATGCAAAGAATGAAAACAATTATTGGGACAAAATGGTAATAATGATTGAGGTAAAGGAAAAGACAATGTGAAACAGTCTGATAGACGGAATTCACCACGTATCAATGATGAAAACTAGGCAGACATTTCCTGGCACGATACAGCGTCGTCCTCCGTACATACAACCCCTTGTTTTGCGCTGGCACGGTGAAATCTTGATATCAAAATAGAGCAACCAGTCTAGAGAAGCACTCTTGCGTCACTCATGTCCATGATATCGCGGTATATTACCTCCCGGCAGCGATACAATTCTATACACACAGTGACGCAATTGCTCTTCTAAGAGCAATTCTTAAGTGGGTGTATGTTAAGGGCAAATACACAAAATATTGATATCTGAAAAGCGGAGAAAATGTATATTAGAACGCATTTAAGCAAAACTGGACTGTATCATAACAATAAGTACCTTTGTTATGGAATTTCAATGAACGTGTCTATGATGGAAAGTTGTCAACGGAAACTACTCGGAATGCATAGCATACCGAAAGGTTTTGTCCACTTACTGTTTGTGTCATTGAAGAACTACTCATATTAAAAATGAGTGACACATTTTCGACATATAAAATTTAAAAATAAATTACAGAGAAAGATCTCTCTGGTTTTATTATGCGAAGTGTACGACAGATCCGAAATCAATTTTTTCAAAATTTCTTAGATATTAATGAAAATCAGAACTAAGCTATTTTTATAAATGCACTTTCTTGTATCTCAGACAAACAAGTTTTTAAAAAATGCCAGTCATTTTCCAATAAATTTTGAAAGTACCACAGGGGCTGCATGTGAACGCCAAGGGGTTCCTTCAAAAATTAAAATATTTTAATGGACTCTAGAACGGATTAGATCTTACTACTGATGTATTTACGGAGTGTCAACTCAAAAGCTTTTCACTTGACAGTGATGGTCCAGGAAGTTACCGAGAATCCGTGTAATTTTGAGAGTTCGAAAACCAGACCCCACAACACTAGTGAATTTGGTCACGAACTGATAATAAATAGACTTTGTTTTGGTGTGTCATTGTCTATTCATGAAACATTTACTAGCGAAAAGAAAAAAAGGGGTAAATATGAAAAAAATGACGCAAAGGTAAAAAAAAGACTTATTAATTGAAAAAGGGCAAAAAAAATCCCAATAACTATACATTTCTATCACATATATGTCGTGATAAACATTAATTTAGAAGCTAGTAAAGCACCAATTAAAATATGACATGTTAACAGAATCCGAACCCTGGTGATGACCGACACAAAATTGCTTGCATGTATCCAAAGACCCATCCATCCAACCGTATTTTCGAGTACAACACTGCAGTGTATATCCCCGCTACCTGCACCAATCTTTAACATTATTGGAACAGCACTAATTGATCTTCATCCCGTCGTGGGAGCAGAGTTCAAGAGAACCTTTAACACGGGTTTTCAACCGAAAATTCGAGGTCGTATTGTTAAGATGATTCCAATTCTTTATCTCTCTATACTCTAGTACAGGGAGAAATATAGCAATGAACACAGCAAATTTGTGGGAAACTGGATTTTATTGTTTAACAGTTTGGTTATATTAGTTTAAATGTTTGAAACGTTCATTTAACGTCAGTTACTATAGACGTCTGTTTACCGTGAACATGTATCTCGATCGCACGTTCAGCTCTAAAAACAAGACCCATTGTTTTCAAAATAGCGTTACACGACTCAATGCATTGTGTCACCACTGTTACTCTTGAAGAATGACGTCATGACACATATCATTGCCTCTCAGTCGACTCATACTTATGTAGCACTGTTGCTGAAACCCCACATACCCGTAAAATACCTATTATTGGGGAACGGATTTTCGTGTAATTACATGCTTTTAAAGGAACAAGTTTTCTTCATTCAATACTATTTTTTAATTCACAAAACGTAATTGTTGTCGATACTAATGCGACATGAAATGATAATTTGCTAACGAATAGTATTTTTTTTTTTTTTTTTTGAAAGAAAGGTAGGGAATTTTTTTCGCTCTAGCGTTAAGCGCTCTCTGTGATGCGCTCCTGGAAGCGCGGACGGCTCGATTCTTAGAGGGAAGTTTCGCGACGACCTTAGGAAAAACCACGCACCACTTCTTTCCTTTCAGGCGAGTGTCGACAGACAGTTCTATTTTCACAACTGTTATAGAGATCACTTGGAAGCAGACTACTTGCAATAGGATTTCCTACGACAGAAATGAGATCATTAAATGGGGACGAGATGTCTTGGGATATCTGACGAAATGAGCTAATATAAAGCTTCAAAATTAAATGATAATGGAAGTTAACTCGATCAAAGAATTGTGATTAGTCAGGGAGAAGTATCAACTGCGAGTTCAGTATTAAAAACTTTTTTAGAATTTGTTTAAAGGCAGAAATTCATACACATAATACATTTATATTAAAATCATACAAATTGTCAAAAATCATACAGATTTTAATAAAAAAAATATGTGAATGAATGTCTGCCTAAAAATTGAAGGGCCTTTAAACCAATTTAAAAAAATATATAATAAAATAAAAAACCATCAAGAAAGGCACTCTTATTCTCATACGTTTAATACATGCGGACAAAACGCAATTCATTTTTACCGAAATTGAATTTATTACCTTTCCCTTCAAGTGATGAATAAAAAAGTAATTCGCATAGAAAGTACTCCCTACACACCTCAAGTGCAATTATGACTTTTTTCATGCTTCTCTACATCCACTAGGTAAACAGTGCCGTTCAAATGAACAACCCATCAACATGGGTATTACGCAATTACAAAGAAAATGTCAGTGCAGCAATAATGGCCTTAAGACTTCGCGAGCGTGAACGACGTATATCGATTTCAGACATTCTATGCCGATATCGAACAAAAACCATTTAAGCAATAGCATAGTGTTGTTAAATGGATCAGTACTTCGGCAGAGGAAGGAACACAAAAATGAACACAAAAATGAAGATGGTGAAAATGAAGTGAAAGTTATTTAAGTATAGAAAAGTAAGCCATAGACGAATGCTAACGATCAAAAATCTTACCAAATACTTATTGCTAGTAATTACTGAAGCATTGAACCGACATAAAATGAATAAAATGACTATTTACATATTCTATTTACATTAGCTTCCATTTACATCTGCAACGTTAAGTCCTCTTGGTGTCTTGACCAGGCAATGCTTAACAACGCTGGAGAGATTGGGTGGATAATGCTATAAGAAAACTAAAGAGAGGAGTTGCCACGATGCATCTCTCTTAAAGTCTCTCTGATGTAATAATAACACTTAGTCTGATTCGCTTTTGCTCAACTACAGCTTCACAACAGAATTACGTTACGAGATGGGAATATCGTTAACAACACACACTGCCAACATAGTTTGGCAGAAGTCCACTCGTCGTGGTTACGCGACTTGTATCGTAAACTATAGGAGACACGTAGTTACGATATAACCTATCGAAACGCTGGAGATCGCACATACGTAATGGCTCAAAAGTGAGTTGATATAGTATACGAAGTAGTGCCAGACTCTGTACAAAATAATGCATCTCGCTGCTCTGGAACAGATTATCGCCGTTGCCTTGACAATGCTGTTCACGGTAAACAAAAATCTTACACGTATCCGTTAAAATGTGGCGGGGTCTTCTACGGCCCCCAAACCGATCGATATTGAATTCTCCGTTTCACTTTGATATCACAGGCAATGCAGTTCCGCACACAAACCTTCCAATATGAATATAACAACAAATCTAAATATATTATACAACAAGGCACGGGAAGCCTTCATTAACTACCACAAAATCTAATATTTCCAAAAGAGTAAGGATTATTCTTTCCCTATTGAATAATTGTCTTCATCGTCGCGTTGTCGCAAGTGCAAAGAGTGACAATTACAAATGATAGGAAAGCACTCCTCTTGGATGAGTCAGCACATGCACGTCCGGAGAGAAATTACTTCCCGAGGAAGATTACGTCACGAGGCAGTTGTCAAGTTCAGTAGATTGCTGACGCACTCACATATTGGCTACATGAAAATTACATTCATTTCTCGCAACATCGGCGTTCAATTTCGTCTGCGTTGCAGACGGGATATTCAAATTCTAGAATTCATAGAAAAAAATCTAAAAATTTGCAGTCATCGCCCCCCTTCTATATTGTTACTTGATGGGCTTCTTAAAAATGCTAATCCGAACATTATCTTTTATTTAGCATCATTTATTTAATGTTGATTTCTAAAACCTCGGCTAACTAAACATTTCGATCTTCAAATTTCATTTCAATGGGGGTTAACGATTCCGTAAAGAAAGTGAATAGACAGGGTTAACTGTCCAAAGAAAAGCCGTCATTGAATAACTGCACACAACAAAGCACATGCAAACGAAAAAATTGTAACGTTTGCACTGGTGCGCGCAGGCTAAGCGCGAGACGGGCCGACCTTTTCCCGGGGCTGCCGCAGGAGGCGGCAGTGGAGCTGCAATTAATTTGGCGTTGGCCGCGGCCCAAGTAGAGTGGCCAGGGGGCGGGGCGCTGCCGGCGTGACTCCCGACGTCCAGCGGGCGCCTCGCCCCGCCCACGGGCGACAGGAAATGAGCACAACGACAAGCGGGAAGTGGTGGATCATATGAAGGAGGAGGAAGAGAAGAAAGAGGTGGATGTGAATTACAAGGAGGAAGGGGGGAAGAGAAAGTGGTAAGTAGGAAGTAAGAAAACAAAAATAGAAAAGGCGTCCCCGAATAACGAATATTTAAAATAGTAATATATTAGCTTTACCAAAATGTGTACCAAGTACCAGAAAATACCAAACTATGTAAACTATGTAATATAGTACTCTATAGGTAAAAATATGTAACTAAAAAAATGGATAATAAGTTAGGAGGGCGTCGATTAGCCAAGATCATAATTTCGAAAATGGAATTACATAAAAATGCGGTCTCTAATGATAAACGCGATGCTCGTTCTTAGCCTTTTGGGCCCGTGTGGTGTGAAGGTGCCGGGCGGAGAGCGAGCACAGAGTGACGGCTAGTGGGCGAGTGGGCACGTGGGCGCGGCGCCGCGCTGTCATCTGCCTGGCGCCCGGCCAAAGACCAGCACCTGCTGGAGCCGCCGCGTCGCACACAAGGGCGGCGCTGTGCGGAGGCGCCGGGCCGGGCGGCAACACCCCACGCCAGCGCCCAGGACATCCACAGCCAGAGAAAATAAACACAGTGCAACTCCGATATTCCCCGCTAATTGCGAGGGGGGGGGCGTCTGTCCGGATTCGGAATTCAGATTATCCGAAAAATATATACCGCACATAAACAATTACCGTTACAACGCAACGTAGCATAGCGTAGTGACGTGAAGTGGCAATGTTGCGAACAACGGAGTACGTACAAAACCGATCGCATGCAGTACATTGCTTACAAGAGTTGAAGAACAGATTGTGTCGCTGCTGTTAACGGGTATTCTACGAGCAGTATTCAGAATTGGGTTGACTTCCACTGTGCTCATGCTTTTTCGTAAATTAAGATCATGCACAGATGGTGTTTGTTTTGTTTACGTTTTCCTCCATCTCAACTTTTGTTCGGATTATCCGAAATTTCGGATTAGCGGGTTTGTAAGTATGATCGGCACCATGTCAACTTTTTGTTTTAGGAGGGGGGAGGGACGGTCGGCAGTGGAGGCTTGTACACGGCCCTTTTGTGGGGCGCAAATCCGGGAAATCAGAGAGGTGCACGATTGCGCTCGTGGAAGGTGAGCCGGCCAAACGAATTATGTATGGCGGGAACAACAAAATTTTTGACATGTTTTTCTGTGTCCGTGAAACCTCAAGATTAAAAATAGCAATGAATGCTCGTGTGGCATTTGTTCAGCGTAATTGCGCAACAAAAAAGTTAAAAGAATTTCCGTAATCTCATCATATTTTTGTTTAATTACAATTATTTGTGAATCCACCTGCAAGGAGGCCCGAAATATTTTTGCTCCTTCACTGACAACTTCCCTCTCCCTACCCTTGTTTTTAATGCACAATTTAAAAGTTCACCATTGAATATAACGTACTACACTGTTGCAAGGCAATTGAGTAGCTTCATCATGCTAACACTTCTTTTCTTTCGTTTGCGCTTTCACCCTTGGCACGAGCAAGTACTACGTAAGTACCCTTACCGCGCTTCAGGAATGACTTCAGAAGGTAAAATTAAATACGGCATTACGTTACATGTGTTGCAGAAGGATATTCATTTTATGCCATAAAATTGCTTCGTTAAATAGGGGGGGCGACAAGTCAGTGAGTTTAAATAGAAATAGTTAAAATGAAAACAAATTTCCTCTATGCCAAAAAGATATTCCATATCTGATACACAGAACAACTGGTGAGATAAAGAAAGTCCCTCCTGCATTTTATTTAGGTTTACCTTTTTATACTGTAATTGGGTAAATATGACCACTATACTACCAGAAATATGACCACTTTCCCGAGTCCATTCCCGGAATGGTTCTGAGAGCGTAAAAATAGCGTTCTGCAAGCGCCCCAGTCTGCGACAAAAACAGCGTCCTACAGCACAGGGTTGACATGTGAATTGTGGTCAGCAGGGTTTTCTTCCCCCCCCCCCCACGTCGCGTTGGAGCGGAAGCACTGCCCCGTGCGCGTTCCGGCAAACAATGGAGTTTACCGCGCGTGACCTGCCCCGCGCGTCCATCCTCTCCCGATGCTCTCAGCCCGCGAACCGGGGCGAGGCATGGAGGGGCTGGGTGGTCCGGCAACGCCAGTCCTTCAGTACACGAGTGCACATCGCCCGTCGGCCGTAGTCGGCAGGGCCGGCTGCGCTAGGGGTGTCGCGATAATTGAATTGATGCCAACAACTAAATTAGGGAGTTGGTGTACGCCATAGCGGACGGCACTATCGATTTTCTGCGCTTGCGCAGAAGCACTTAAGTGATGCGAAACTTTAACTACGAATGCGCGGAAGATAGATAGTACTTCAACTTTCCAGGGTGTACACACTTTAATAAGTCTATATCATCGATCTACAAGAATCAACGTCGTCGACCGATTTCAAATATATAATTTTGATGGACTTTATATTCGAAGACTTCTCGCGATATTACCAATAAAACACTTATACTATTATTTATAATGATCTTTTTCATTAAATTTTATATTTTGCTCGTGCTTATACATTTCATATTTCTCTGTAATTTCTCTGCAATATACAGTAGTACGTTAAATTGAAGTGAAGAAAGCGCTTGAAAACAAGAAACAATTACAATTTATTTTTTACGCGTCGGCGAACTAAACT